AAGAAACCAATCAATTACCAAAATTCAAGAAAAAAGTGAAAGAAGTTCTACTTGATCATCAGCGAAATCTGTTGTAACCCATAAGTGTCCTCATATTTTCCTTAGGCCTTTACTTAGATTATACTTTAGTCTGTCGTTATTGTATACAGGTATTAATTATCAACAAATTCTGTTTTTTTTTTTACATCTCGTATTATTAAGGAGGTTAGATGGTAGAATAGATATATTATCTAAATCTCGCCTCCTGAGAAATAAAAGACGTTAAAAAAAAAATTTTGTTTTTCAGAAGTATGTAATGTCTGGCAGCCCTGGGATCTTACACCACATGTCACTGATCTAAAAAGAACAATTACGGTTAGCAGCAAACCATACCATTCTCAGAGACCTGTGATAACTTTCCACGTATTAGTAATCTTCATTGACCGATATTAACCGACTTTGATGCGCATTATCAATCTGTGTTTTTTTAATCGGATACAATACAAATGCATCGTCTTCGACCCGTAAATGCCCTCGTTTGATATACTTTAACAAACAAGAAAGGAACCATACATATGATAAATAAATACGAATGTTTTGGTAAGAATGACCCAAACGGTGCGATGGCCGTTTCCACTGTACGAGGGATGTCTCAAGTTTTGCATATAGAAACATAGGCCGCGCGGATCGAACTTCAGTACTGAATCTTAATCTCACTCTTTAGTAAACTTAAATTCAAAGTTTCACAACAATGTTCTCGCTGTAGTGAATTTTTAAGTGTCACCAAGTCATTAGAAAAATGGAACTCAACCGAGAACATTTTCGCGCCATAATTTATCACAACTATCGCAACAAGAATGCCTTGCTGAATTACTGTCTGTTTTCGGCAACGAAGCGCCACATCAGTCGACAATTTCCCGTTGGTATGGAGAATTCAAACGTGGGCGGGTGAGCTTAGCGACGATCCCAGGGTGGGTGCACCAAAAACGGTAGTCACCCAGGAAAACGTCGATGCTGTGCGCAAACTCATCATTGAAGATAAACATGTGACATATCGCGAGATTGAGGCGTCCTTCAAGATATCAAAGATCTCAATTCAAAAAAATTTACATGAAGAATTAGGAGTAAAAAAATTAGTTTCTCGTTGGATACCCCACCTGTTGACTGAAGAGCAGAAAGCAGCCAGGGTTAACTGGTGTCAAAAAATGCTTGACCATTTCAATTCCGGAAACTCAAAAAATATGTACATCATTGTTAGTGGTGATCAATCTTGGATTTACTGTTATGAGCCAGAAAATAAACGACAGTCGGCTGTTTGGGTGTTCCAAGGTGAAGAAAAGCCAACAAAAGTCATCCGTTCTCGAAGTGTTTCGAAAAAGATGGTCGCGATATTTGTGTCAAAAGCGGGTCATATTGCAACAATTCCTCTTAATGAGCAAAGAACTGTTACTGCGGATTGGTATACCACCATTTGTTTGCCAAAAGTCATCACCGAGCTTCGAAAAATCAACCCCGAAAGAAGAATCATCCTCCACCAAGACAATGCTAGCTCGCACACAGCCCAAAAAACAAGGCAGTATTTAACGGAAGAAAACGTGGAATTATTGGACCATCCTCCATATAGTCCCGATCTAAGTCCTAACAATTTCTTTACTTTCCCGAAAATTAAAAACAGACTGCTTGTCAAAGGTTCCAGTCACCAGAAGAAGCAGTTAACGCATTCAAAAATGCCGTTTTGGATCTGCCAGCAAACGAGTGGAATAAGTGCTTCGAAAATTGGTTCGAGCGCATGCAGATGTGTATTAATCTTCGTGGAGAATACTTCGAAAAACAATAAAGTCGTTTAAAACTGCCTACCGTGTTGTTTTATTTCCATATGCAAAACTTAAAAGACATCCCTCGTACTCTTCGATATTCAGACGTATAATGAAGTTCATCTAATTTGAACACTTTTGAGCCCACAAAGAGCTTTGTTATCAAATTTGGCATTTGGCGTTTTTTAGTCTCTTAGATGTATCGTCTCATATTATGTTGAAAGTAAAATCATATTGTTTTGTATTATAATTGTAGTAGAATACAGAAACACTATTCACTTGGTTGATCATCTCACAAGAACGTGGGTATTTAAATGTTCATTGAGATTGTTTATTCAGTGTCACTCAATCGGATCAATCAATAATTGTTAAGCAAAGTTAAAACGTTTTATTTCACTGCAGTGAACATCGGTTTTTCATTAGCTCGAATATAATCAGGAACATATTACATTCCCATTAACTTGGCACTGTCATCCGGAATTACTCTGTTTTCTTATGATACATTGTTTCATTTTAGCTGACAAATTAATGAACCAAAAAAGATTTCGGAAACCTAAGAAAATTCAAAAACCACACTTTCAACATCGAATCTTTTATAAACTACATACTGGAGCTTTCGACATAGAAACTTTTAATCTGGAAGTTAAGCCCTATTCAATTCATAAGTTTCGGCAATATCGACGGATTTATTGCCATAAGAGGTTAATTTATGTGAAACCGAGACGATATCTTCATCCCATCCATCGAGACAATGTCTTCGATTTCAAAAATATTGTCGCTGTTTTTTATCCATCCCGAAGCTCAAGTAAGGTCATAGCTTGAACAGGTGTAATTCACGGCAGAATCTAATAAATGTTCTCTAAACTTATAGATAGGCCCAAGGGTGGAAGTTGATCAATTGACAACTAGATAAGCCTTAGTTTTCTATTTATTTATATCCAGCAGTTTGTGGTACCGTACAGTATTAATACAGTTCTGAAATGTTATGTCGAAATTCCGCTTTTATAGTAGAGTTGAGTAGGTTATCACTTTTTCTCTTCAAAAATTTTTGATATTCTTGAAACCTCATTTTGTAGAAAATTGTTTTAAAATGGAAGCTTTTTTGAAGAAAGAAAGAGCTAAGAAAAAATATAATCACCCACGTAATTCCTTCATAAAAGTGGAATATTCACATACAACTTTGGAGTTGTACTATTATTTGTTAATAACAAGAAGCGGTTGAAGAAAAAAGGGTACTGTTGCGTCTTGTAAAACTTCGGATTTCACTGTTTTTTTCACTTGAAACTTCTAGACGGTAGTGTGATATATTATTTTAAATAGAAAAATATGTGGATGAAGCACGCTTTTCATGCGTTTTTTTCCCAAAAGACGTATTTTTAGCAATCATTTCTACCATTATTTACACCGCCATCTGCCATACGACGTCGTTGACGTCTGTGGATATGTCATATATAAGAGGAGCTTGCCTGCGGTGTTGCCGGATTGGGCTCCGCATCTAGGGAAAATGAAAAGTGGAAAATCTATATACAGTAATGGACAAAAGTATATAGACAAATATGAATATTTACATAAATACCTTTAGAAAACGAATTCATACTTCATTGCTCCATAAACAAATGCGTTATTAGTAGAAAAACTAAATTTCAAGTTTTTACATTATCTGCAATGAACACAATACAAGTCTGAATATAAGCACTTTTTTATGAGGAACAAAAATATGTAGAGACATTCTTTTCAACATTAGTTTAATACAGTTTTGTGTCAGAAGAGGATTAGTTTGTGTTCATCAAGTATTCTGGAATAAGTTGAGTGATTTTAAGACCATGCCGCGTGGTCCAGAAATTTCTTTCGATGTGAAAACTAAGATCATCGAGTTATACAAAGATGTTCTGTCATCTGTGACTGGAAGAGGGTATGTTTCAGAGACGAATCCAAGTTCAATATGTTTGGATCAGATGCTGTTCATTACTTTAGACGTCCTAGTGGACAAAGATTGAACCCCAAGTACACTTTGCCCACTGTCAAACATGGAGGCGGGTCTGTTATGGTTTGGGGGTGCTTTTCGGGGTTTGGGATGGGATTTTTACATAGAATAGATGGCATTATGGATAAGTTTGTATACACAGACATACTAAAGCATGTCATGTTACCCTATATGGAAGACAATATGCCCTTAAGATCAATCTTCCAGCAAGATAATGACCCGAAGCGCACTTCAAATCTCGCAAAGAAATTCTTTCTGGATGAAAAAATACCAGTTCTCAAATGGCTTTCACAGTCTCCCGATATAAACCCCATTGAAAATCTGTGGTAATACTTAGATAAGCAAATACGAGATAAAAAATATTCAAACAAGGATGAACTTTTTGCCGCTTTAGAACAAAAGTGGAGACAGATTGATGAATCTTATATCAAGAAACTTCTACAATCTATGCCGAGACGATACCAGGCGGTGATTGATAATAATAGTTATGCTACAAAATATTAACACAAACATGGTTGGTTTTCTATAATTCAATGAACTTTGCTTCTTTTTTCTAAAATTGTTTTGCTTTGTCTATATATTTTTGTCCTTCATAGTTCCAGTTTTTTTCAATTAATTTTTTATTGAAGGGAGTCTAATGCATTTATTTATGTATAAGTGAGTATTATGCTATAACGAATTATGTATACAGGTTGGTGTATTAATAAAACAAGTTAAAAAAGAAATAAAGCACCACATTAATTTGTCTATATACTTTTGTCCATTATTGTATGTATTATAAATTTTCCTCTTTTCATATTTTTCCCTAAATGCGGAGCCCAATCCGGCAACATTGCAGGCAAGCGCCTCTCATACATGACATATGCACAGACGTCAACGTCATACTGCCGATGGCGGTGGAAATAATGGTAAAACTAACTGCTAAAAATACAGTGTGTTGGGAAAAATGTTCTCGACAAGCTTCATCCACACTTTTTTCATTTAAAATGATCTATCGGATTACCCTCTTTAAGTTTCAAGTGAAAATACAGCCAAATTCGAAGTTGTACAAGACGCAACATTGTTTTTCAGTCATCTCTATACATAACATCAATCAAACAAACGAAAAGCATCAAGAATACTCCTCCAGACAAGCTGTTGAAAAAAAAAACATGCGACGTTAAAGTTCAACGTGAATGATTGAATCCACGCCACTGCACTGGCAGCATTCAGTGTGAACCTACCATAACAAACAAGTGACATGGCGGGCTGCTACTGGACTCGGCAATATCAACAAACACGACACAGAATGTCTTTTCAATCAGTCTGAGTTAACCTGAGGAATGGCAAATAATGGCAGTGATCTGAAGATGGGAAATGATGGGCAGTTCTCTTCTATCCTCAATCAATCAACGTCTCTTGACCAACTTCTGCGAGTTGAACACGATTTCTCTGTTCCACGTGTAATGGTAGCTGCACTTCATGCTAAACGTGCAAACCATTGGCACAGACAACCATCAGTGGCGTCGAAGTTGTGAAGCGCACTTCAGTGTCTGTCTGGACGCCCGGTACTCCTTTTGGAAGTCGAGAGAGGAACTGCGAACGGAAATAGCACCGACTTAAAATCGACAAGTGCGGAATTCGCGTATAATTAACACGTTTCGTATGAGTGGTTTCGAAAGCGAAACACAGACTGAATTAGCGTGAAACCGGGTATCCTCAGAAATGCAGTGTGTATGTGTAATCCCCCACCATGCCAGTTCCAGGTTTGTTTTCGAGACAGCGTTATCGCGACTACTGACACGGTCAGAGGCGGAGGTGTTCTCACGACCGTCCATGGGACATAAGAAAAGATAAAAAAGGAAGGTGAGTAACTACATGTGGAAACCGATATTTTAGTGACCTAACAGTAATTTTTAGATAAATATTGAAACTAAATGACCGCTTTTCTCCAGTCCCCTAAAACAGATAACACCTAACTGAGATAGGTGGCAGGCCTGTTACCAGTCACTGAAGTAGTTTTTTTATACTTGTGCCATCACGCAGAACTGAGGCCTAAATACCCGATACGGTGAGACTATGAGAATAGGATAGAATAGAACGGATTTATTTAGCTTTAAGCTACTTCAAACAATAATAAATATTTTTTACAAAAATATGTTAAATTTACAAAAAGGTCGTCACATCAAACCAAAATAGTCTCTCCGATGTCTCTTATTGAAAATTTTAGCATTGCTAGATGTTTTGACATTAATAGGCAGATTGCTGTACATTTTTAGACCTTCAACAAACATTGACTTTTCTAAACCTTTATATCTAAATCTGTGTATATGGAAATTTTCTTTTGATCCAATGTCGTAACCTTGCCTTTCACATATTTTTTTTAGAAACTGTACAAGATAAGGTGGAGCCTGATTATTGATAATTTTATATAAAATAATTAAATTTGCCTCTTGGATAATTTGGTGTATGTTTAAAAAATTTAATGCCTATCCTGTATATGGGTATGCCTGCTACAATTTAACAAAATCCGCATACATTTATTTAATAGAATTTGCAACCTTTGCTTTTGCTCATTTGTGCATGTAATCCAAAGTAAAATGAGAAAAAATTATTGTATTGTAGACTATCCTTCTGCACCAGGGACTTCGATTCTCACAAATTCTACGAAAATACCCTATCTTTTTGCCTAATTTCTGACATATATAGTCAACATGTTTGTTGAAAGTTAGTTGCTGATCTATTATAATACATAAATCCTTAACACTATCTACAAAATCAAGTACCTCTCCCTCAATTTTCACTGTCATATTTAACTCCACCAATTTCTTGCAATTACTCTTAGAAATTATAATCATACATTTCGTTTTTCACAAATTTAATTTAATCTTGTTTGTTTTTAACCATAAACTAACTTTGCTTATTTCACTATTCACTACATCTAACATTTAGTTACTTACTGAACCACTAACTGAAATTAATGTATCATCCGCAAACAAATTTATAAAAGAATTGCTAAGGACATTCGACATATCATTGACATATAGAATAAACAGCAATGGACCTAGTACGCTGCCTTGAGGTACTCCATGATCAACAGAAACATTACTTGATATTTTACTTTCAATTTTTACCACTTGTAATCGCTCAGATAAATAATCACCCACCCACAAGAGCGCTGTACCCTTAATTCCATACATTTTACATTTCCTCAACAACAATTTCCTTTCAATAGTTTCAAACGCTCTTTTTAGGTCAACAGACACATACACAATCACTTTACCATCATCTACATCTTTCTTCCACTTTGCACATACAAATTGGCATTCAGTTTCGCAAGAATGATTTCTTCTGAACCCGGATTGCCTCTCAAAAAGAGCATCGTTCACAGATAGATGCTCACTCAGCTGTTCATGCACTGTTATTTCTATAACTTTCTCGACGACTGGCATAAGATTGATGGGCCGCAAGTCTTCTGGCTTATGTGGATTGTTTGTTTTGGATACTGGGACTATAATACTCCTCTTCAACAACGAAGGCGTCTTTCCTGTTCTGAACGATATATTTTCAATATTCAAAAGGGGGTAGCCAATTACATCAAAAAATTGCTTCACCAAACTGCATGCAAGTGCTTCACCCATATATTTTATCTTCAATTAAAAAGTTTTGCGTAGCTTATTCGATGAAATTTCTTGAAACCTCCAAAATTCCTCTTCTAAAGGCATTGCTGCCGTTATAGCTTCCTCTTTACTTGAAGGTATGGTGCTTACTATATCAGTTACACTCTTGATAAAATAATTGTTCAATTTATCCTCTACAGTGTCACAGCCATTAATTTGTAAAGAAAATCAATGTGTACATGTTTGTTATTAAAGAGATCTTTCAATGTTCCCCACATTTGTTTGCTGTCTCCTTTGCATCTGTCAATCTTTTCTTCATAATACTGCTTTTGTTTTGATCTTATAAGAGCAACAACTTTGTTACGTTTTTCTTTATATTTTTCGAAGTCATCCCTCAGGTTGGTAAATTTGAACATATGGTATTGTACATCTCTTTCCCTTTGTGCTCTTTTGACCTCTCCATAAATCCATGACTTGTAATTAGTACTTTCTTGTTCTAAAGGTGCAATTTCGGTGATACTTTTATTCATATACGGATACCAAAGAATTCGAATAGATTAGAAGTAGCATTGTTTGTTGCCAAAATTGCGTAGTTTTAGTAAATACTTTTGACTCATTTGTCTACCAATGGCTACCAAAATGACAGCGTTGTACCAAAATAATAATAATAATACTTACCGATGCAAACATCTACCTTAATTATGCTTATGCTACTCTTTGAAATCGTCTAACACCACAATTATCTGCAAACACTCGTACTTTTAAAAAATAACACTAAAACTACGAATTTAATGACAACTGTAAAAAAACTGACATGTAGAGGTGCACTTTGATCCTTAGTACAGACTATGAGAATAAGGAGACAAATCCTTGAGTGGCTCCTTCTACCTAGTTTGAATTCGTGAGGGGATACTGCCTAACAGTGTCAGTCTGACAGAGCTTGAATGAACTGAAATCCATCACACTTCATTAACAAAAACTTCATCTTTGCTTCCATCCCTTGTTCAGTGAACCAATATCCTCATGATGATTCCCAAGAGAAATAGGATGACTCGTTTGTGTTGGAATTGATATGGAAAATCTTCTTTTCGTTCGAAACATGCGGTGCCGATTTGATTATATCCTGTATACATATTTACTCAGTGACATTAGAAGAAAAAATCATTTCTTCAAATTGCATTTTTCTGCATCTGTTTCAAAAACGTATTTGAAATTGGTACATTTGAATCCTCCAATAAAGGCCTTCTCAAACGGGGTATGTATAGATTTTTACCACTACTAACACTATCTATAACAAAAATAATTCAACTACCATCATAGCACATTGTCCACGGCTATGTCCTGTCATACCATTCGATAGGCAAACATACAAACCAAACACTAATATTTTGATATTCTAATCCAATTTGGTGTTGGCGTCGCATTAAAAATACGTCAATATCGACTTGAGACTACAAGGATTATACACACTGTTATTACCCGGAAATAGATAAGACTCGAGTATCAACGTGCCTTGGCCTGTTTAAATCTATGAAGACATATGAAGAGTTTAATTTTTTAAACATACAGTAATGGACAAAAGTATATAGACAAATTAATATTGTGCTGTATTTCTTTTTTAACTTGTTTTATTAATACACCAACCTGTATACAAAATTCGTTATAGCATAATACTCACTTATACATAAATAAATTCATAAGACTCCCTTCAATAAAAAATTAATTGAAAAAACTGGAACTATGAAGGAAAAAGCAAAACAATTATAGAAAAAAGAAGCAAAGTTCATTGAATTATAGAAAACCAACCATGTTTCTGTTAATACGTAGTCATGCCATAAGTTCTGTCCCTCGTTTTCAAACAAGTGTAGACCTGTTAATACTTGTCCGATTGTTTACATTGTGGTGTCAGTTGATTAAGCGCTTTTCGGGTAATTACATATACCTCAGTTTGTATTGATCTCTCGAAGCATAACGATGGAGTGGGGCAAGGCAGAGAACCGTATTGCAGTGATAGCTTTACATAAGTGTAATCACAGTGCTAGTCAGATTTTTGAACTCTTACGCGGCCTTCAAATATCGCGTAAATTTGTGTCTAGGACCATTCAGCGGTACAATGAGACGTCCTCTGTTGATGACAGGCCAAGAAGCGGAAGACCTCGTCAAGTAAGGACTCCAGCAGCCATCAAAGCCGTAAAAGCCAGGATTCAAAGGAATCCACTCCGGAAGCAGAAGATCCTATCCAGAAAATGAAGATTCCTGTCCGGACGATGTCGCGCATCATTAAACAAGACCTAGGGCTAGGGGCTTACCGGAGACGTACGGGCCAGCGACTTACGGCCACTTTGCGACACATCAGGGCGACAAGATCCAAGAAGCTCTTGGAGAGGTACGCAGCTGGGGGATTCCGAAAGATTTTGTTCACGGATGAGAAAATCTTCACCATAGAAGAAAAATTCAACCGACAAAATGACAAAGTGTATGCAAGGAGTTCACAGGAAGCTTCGGAGATCATTCCAAGAGTTGAGAGAGGCCACCACCCTGCGTCAGTCATGGTTTGGTGGGGGGTGTCCTACGAAGGGGTCACTCAGCTCCATTTCTGTAAACAGGGCGTGAAAACAAAAGCGGCAAACTATCAGAGCGACATACTGGATCCTATCGTCAAGCCTTTAAGTGGTACATTGTTTGCCAACCAACACTGGGTCTACCAGCAGGATTCCGCCCCCGCTCACAAGGCTAAGAGTACGCAGCGCTGGCTGGAAAGCAATGTGCCAGAGTTCATTGCTGCGGAAGATTGGCCCTCAGGGAGTCCGGACCTCAATCCTTTAGACTACAAGTTGTGGGACCTGCTAGAGCAGTTGGCCTGCTCCAAAGCCCACCGTAATATCGAGTCCCTGAAAGCGGATTTGATCCGATCAGCGGCAGCTATTCCTTTGGAAGCTGTGCGTGCAGTGATAGATGAGTGGCCCGCGAGATTGAAGCAGTGTGTGAAGGCCAAGGGGGGACATTTTGAATAAAACTGTTTGATTATGAATTCTAAAAATGTTGTCGAATAAATAATATCTTTCATATAAATATATCTTATCTTGTTTCATTTTTATCATGAGATTATCATGGGACAGAACTTATGGCACGACTACGTATTTTGTAGCATAACCATTATTATCAATCACCGCCTGGCGTCGACTCGGCATAGATTGTAGAAGTTTCTTGATATAAGACTCATCAATCTGGTTCCACTTTTGGTCTAAAGC